ACCTGAAACCCTCTCTCCAGCATCTCTCCTCCCTGTATCCCTCTCTCCAGCACTTCTCCCCCCTGCAACCCTCTGTCCAGCAACACATACTGCTCCCTCGCTGTATATTGTAGCCATGAGCTCCACCATCCCGAACACCACTCACTCGCCTCAATGGCTCTCGATAAATGCAATTACAAGGGAGCCTAATGTAGAAAGTGTAGAAAGGTCCAGGCACTCCAAAAATGAACAAAAGGCAATTTATTTAGACCCACAGCCAAATCGCAATGTTTCGACCTAAATGGTTTTTGTCAGCTTAACAAAGACCATGTAGGTCGAAACGTTGCGATTTGGCTGTGGGTTTCAATAAATTGCATTTTGTTCAATTTTGGAATGCCCTGACCTTTCTACACTTTCTACATTAAGCATCTGATTTCCTGGTACTGAGACCTGGTTTGGTTGCACACAGATTCAAATGTATAAAATGGTTCTACATTGTTGCTTTTGAAAAATATTAAAAGAGAGCCTGTCACCCCGCTCCCTCGCAGTTATTTGTAGTGTAGCCATGTGCTTCTCCTGCACTCACTCCCTCCCACCTCTAGTGCCACTACAGTGCTCGGCAAATGGAGCCTGCTTCCTCAAGGTATTTTATAATGTTGCACTAAGAGCTAGCCCTACAATGGGTCTGGTTGGGGCCATGGACCCAGGTGCACTTTAAAGGGGGCAGCAATTTTCACCCTTGACGCGTCTGGACCTTTTTTTGTTTTTTGCAGGTAGCGTACAGCTCCACAAGGGAATTGCACATGCACTAAATTAGCATGTGCACTAAATTAGAAATTAGTTCTCCTCCTCGCACTCTGCATCAGAGCGCTGTGTGTCACATGACTACCAGGAGCTCAGTCTGAAACTAAAGGCAGCACACCAGACATCGACAGCCCCTGCCATAGACATTGACAGCCCCTGCATTACAGATAAAACAGCAGGGAGGGGGGCACTAATTTGTGTGTGAGCAGTGGCTCTGTGAGGCTGCTCAGGAAGGAGAGTGTAGACAAGGAAGAAAGGGAAGAGACATTCAGAAGGAGGAGGGAAGAGATATGGTAGGGAGAAGAGAAACATGGAAAGGGTAAGAGAGACATGGATGGAAAGGAGAGAGACACATGGAAGGGGTTGAAGAAAGATGTGAAAGGAAGGGGTGGAAGAGAGATATGGAAGAAAGGGGGAGAGAAATGGAAGGAAAGGGTGGGATACGTGGAAGGGGGAAGAGAGATATGGATGGGAAGGGGAAAGAGAGGCATGGATGGAAAAGGGGAGGGAAATAGAAAGGTGGGAGAGAAACATAGAAGAGGAAGAGGGACATGGAAGGGGCAGAGAGACATGGAAGTAATGGGGGAGAGAGACAAGGAAGGAAGGGGGAAAGGGAGACATGGATGGAAGGGGGAGCGAGACATGGCATAGGGGTAAATAGAAATTTAAGGAAGGGAGGAGAGACATGGAAAGAAGGGGGAGAGAGACGTGGAAGTGGGATGCAGTCTGGTGCATTGGGTACAATATCTAGTGCTGTGGGAAATGCTGTGGGTGCAATCTGGTGCTGTGGAAATGGGCATTAAGAGTGAAATAGTGCAGTAAGCATGGTGTGAAGAGGAGGTGCAGAGGAGGTGAAGTCAAACAAGGTAAGGGTTAGCATCTGGAAATGTATGTGTTCATATAGAATGACAGGGGATGGAGGGCAGCAAAATATATCTTGCACTGGCCTTGTCAGTGTGAATGTGTGTGTGTGTGTGTGTGTTAGTTTGGGTGTGTGTGTCTAAGTGTGTGTCTGTGAATGTGTATTTCTGTTAGTGTTTGTGAGCGAGTGTGATTGGCTTTGATTGGCACCCTCGTGGTGAAATTTGTACTGTGGTCACTGCACTTTGTGATCACCACAAATGTTATTAAGACAAGTAGTTTGGGCAACATGCAGAGAGTGAGCAGCTCTCTACACCTGTCATGACCCTGCCATGACACGTTTACTAGTTCCCAAGCAGTCTCTCAGTGCCAGATCTCTGCTCCTAGCACCTCTGTGCCAGATTTCTGCCCATAGCCTTTCAGTGCCAGCTTTCTGCCCCCTAGTATTTCAGTGCTAGCTGTCTGCCCCTAGCGTCCTCTTGGTGCCAGCTCTCTGCCTCTAGCTCTCAGTGCCACCTGCTTTGTCTTTAGTTCTCAGTGCCAGCTATCTGTTCCTAACCATTTAGTGCCAGCTCTCTGCTTCTAGCTTCTCAGTACCAGCTCTCTGCAACTAACCTCTCAGTACTAGCTTTCTGCCCTTAGCCTATCAGTGCCACCTCTATGTCCCCAGCAGATTCTCTGTGCCAGCTGTGTTTGTTTGGGTTTTTTGTTTTTTTTTGTTTTTAAAGATAGTGATTGCTGTGGATATGGCAGATAGATAAGATCAGAATGTTGCCACCAGGCACAAGTTTTTTTTATTCTTTTGAATGTATATGTTTGTTTACATGTTTTACATAAAGTTCTATATGTGTTATTTCATCTTGTTATAATTTTATTTGTATATGTACTAGAATATTTATTGTACTTTATAGTTTATGTTATAGTTATTAACATTTGCTGAAAATAAAGTTTGTGTAACTTTTTCCTACATATCTACAAAGAAAATGACTAAAAAATTTTTTTCAAACTTAGATTAGATTACATCAAATAAAAAAACCTGGTTTCTGTGATTTATATAGTCTTGGGCTCAGGTCATTAATGTGGACAATAACCAACTGACAGATAATGTCATTGGTGTCTGCATTGCATGACACTGGTGTGCCATAGCATCATTATTATGGTAACCTAGAATAGAATGTAGGTAAGATAAGTATTAGTGATAAAGTTGGGGTTGCTCCACTTTCCATGAACACCTGTCTCATTGTCCTCCTTGTTAACCTGCAACCTCCTCCCCCATTCTGAATCTCTGTTGGACATTTTACCATCCTGATAGTTAAAAGCCTTCTGACATCAAAAACATCCTGTCACTATATGATGACCCAATACATAAACATACACTACTTTTTTTTGTCAAACATGGATCAATTAATATCAGCAACATATTAGAAGGGCCAGGGCAGACAGAGATCCTCCCTTCTGTGACCTGGGTTGTAGAAGATGTGATGGAGCTGTGTTGCAGTTTGTGTCTGCAGGTTAATCCAGTTTTGTGGTAGAGTTTTAACCCCTTAAGGACACATGACGGAAATATTCCGTCATGATTCCCTTTTATTCCAGAAGTTGTGTCCTTAAGGGGTTAAATATGCTGCAGTTCATAATAATAATTATTATTATTATTAAGAAAACGCTAACAAATTCTGCAGCGCTGTACAATGGGTGGATCCTGTGATACACACAGAATTAACAGGGGTGACTGCACAACCTGATGGATAGCAGCCTGTGTCTGTTATAGAAGGCTAGTAGCAGGCCTCAAACTGTCCTGAATTTTGAAAGACATTCCAGAACTTAGGCTCCAGTCCCGCCATACCAAGATCTCATATGACATCTGTCCCCAGAAAGAATAGCACAAGCAGACAATTACACATGTTTGTGCTATGGTTAGGGCACTAGGAACATGTGCATGCATGGCAGGGCCGGACTGGCCCACCAGGATACTGGGACATTTCCCAGTGGGCTGCAGCACTTGGGGTGGCCCACCAGGAAATTTGACAGCCCAAATCATCAAAATCATGTAGTTTAAATGATTTTCCCCTCGGACTGTGCCTCAATGTATTTTGATAATCTGTGATGAACAAAATGGGGAAACCTTTGGCCCTCACTGACTATTTACTAGTTTTACGCTAAATTTAATGTAGAACCTTTACAGCTGTGAGCTGATATTTCAAGTAATGTTAATGTGAATAAAAATTTCTCTCTAGTGTGTTTTTCTCATTTTTTATATAACTTTTATACCTGTATGAATAAACAATGCTGTAAAAGACAAAATAAAAATAAATCTACAAACTAAGATTGCTACTATATGATTATTGCCATAATCTTAAAAGGGAATTCTAAGCACCACAATCACTAGGAATATGATGCCAGTATGCCTCTGGCACTATCCTATGCTTCCTTGGCAATTACTTTTGAGTTTTTTGACACACACTGAGGGTCATCAGGCACCTATTCACCCACCATATTGCTATTGTAGGGGTTATACTTCCATAGTAGCAATATCAATTTTGGTCTGAATTGGAGGTAATGTATTGGCGGAACACATTACTTACTCAATCTTTAACAATAGTTATTGTGGACCCAGGACATACTTGAAAACAAGAGAAATCTCAATGTATCCTTCCTGATCAAATATTTTAGAAATAAATAAATAAAATAGGCTGAGCTAGAGACCAAGCCAGAGGCATATCGTGGACCCTTAGTTTGTGTCAAATTGCTTAAAACTGTTTGACACAAAGGATGGCTCCAAGGACATGCTGGTATCGCAACCACTACAAAGGGCTGTAATGATTATGATGCACAGAATCTTAATTAAGATCTTAATAATGATTTTCATTATCCTAACCCTTTGAAACATGCTGCAATTTTCTAACCCCTAAATTTGCTTATTCTAGTGTAACATTTAGTTCCATGGTAGGTATATTTTTAATCCTGTAAACAAAAAAGTATTTTGTTGTCGTTGTTAGCACAGTACCTAAATAGGTCAGAAAAGTGTCTTAATGTGTAATTCATTTCACCATAGGCTTGAAGGAATGATCAATCCTCCATAACATTTGTATGAGCTCATAAAATACTCCAAAGATCAAATGTAAAACATAGAGAGAGATTTATTAAAGTGTTTTGTTAAAAAAAAAAAAAAAATGGTCTAATGGTGGGGGTAATAATGTAACCAACAGGCACATTTTATTTGTAACTCCTCCATTTTTATGTTTGTCCACCACTTTTCAGAACAGAGCACTTTGATAAATCTCCCCCATTAGCTTCCATAAACACGTTTCCAGCATAACATTTTCTCTGTCTGACCCATATAGCTGCTTGAGATTTTACTACAGTTTGTGTAATAAACTCAAAATTAATACACCATGAGTAGCTAATGTGATAAACAAAAAGAATTTATTTTCTTTAAATGTACTTCACTTGTGTTAGTTTAAAATGCCAACATGATGCTTAGATGTAAATGTTTACTGCTGAATTCTGCGGATGGATTGAATCTGAAAGGTTTGTGCATGGGATCCCCACTCTCTCCAATGCTTGTACTCTCCTGAGTGATGGTCACATTCCAAAATGTACTGGAATCCACGGTAGCCAGGATACTGGTAACCCACCCAACTGTAGACAGGGGAAAAGAAATGCATTAGTGAATATTGGTATTTATTTGATAAACTCCACTTGCGTTGCAGTAGAGCCTAGTGATTCATACATTCATGCAAATACACTTCTTAATATAGTTGTGATGAAGCTCAGTGAAAAACACATACACTCTCTGGGAGATTATGAGTTTCATAGCTGTGGAAATTCTTGTGATACAATAAATTTAATTTTTTTGAGCTCAAACAAAATAGAATCAATATGGTAATAAAGTGGCACAGATGGATTGGAGATCATAGAATACTTTGAGAATCGTTTAATGTGTTTCAAGGAGTCCTTAAGGGGTTATATATTTATTTTTCAAATAATTGATACAAGGCTAAAAGAAATTAATTTCCATGGTTAACATGAACAGAATTGGAATCTGTGTAAATTAAGTTTAATGTTCTCAATATAATCTATATGTAGTAACAGAAAGTAAACGATATTCCTCTACACATTTTTATAACTGGTTCTGGATCGATTTACTAAATGCCAAACTACAGTGAGCTGAAAACCAAACTGCTAAATTCAGGTTAAATTTGCCAGGCTGTGACTAAAGCTAAACTGAAGAATTTTTCCAAATCATCCCTTTTTTCCTCATTGTTGGAATTAAATCTTAGATTTGCTACAATTAATTGCTAAGTTAAGAATCCATTAAAGTACACATACTAAAACATATATTTTATCTGCAAACAAACCTATTTCTACCTATGGAAATAGATGACAGAGGCAAATATGCCAAACTGTTCAGTCATTATGGAGAGCTGTACTTTTAACCTACCACATAGGTTGGCAACCTACCACGCTACAGATGTTGCAAAGCATCAAGGGACATGTAGTCCACAACATCTGGAGTGTCGAAGGATTCCGACCCCTGACCTACCATTTAGAATTTTAACCTACTCACTTTTTTCTTACATCTGCAACTCTTTTACAAAATGTTACAATTATTTTAAAAAGTATATATTCAGCAACCAATAAGCATAAGTGTGTTAACACAATTCATTAGAGTGTACACATTGGATTTATTAATATTTTTGGTAAAAAGAGAATATGTATCGCAAACTCAGCTATCAAAAGGGCCATTTCTATTGATTAAATAAACTACAGTTTATCTAAACTACTTTGTATATCTTACAACATGAACACTTATAATACAGGCTTCAAGATAAAAACAAGAAAAAAAAAAATTTGATTCACTGAATAAACTTAAATTAATTTCTGAAAAGATAATAAACTATTTGAAACTATTAGATGTGTGCAGGATTTAAATAGGAGTAGTGTGACAATTATGCATTAGAGTGTGGCTGGGCACACTTTGCATACCTGTGCCATTTGCCAATAAGGAAGCAGAAGTCATATACACCCTGATAACGTTTTACTCTAAAATGTATAGGCAGTTGAAGGATGTAATGGAATTGCAAATCTATTCCAATAATATTTAAGTTGCAGACCTGTATCATTCGAATTTAGTTGGCTGTATATAGTCTATGGAATTACTGATTTGTATTAGGTGCATTTTAAGAGCGCTTTAAGAACAATAAAGACCAGGGAAAACCTTCCTTGAAAAACTATAAATTAGAAAAAATTCTAAAAATGTGACAACATTTATAGATTGCTCATGGAAATGCATGTATACTGTTTTGATATTTACTGCTACATCTTTTCAGCGTTAAATGGTTGTTGACGTGTTATGATTTGTGTCTTCGTTTGAGTAGTTGTGAAACAGAACATAAAAACAATTGACCACCATATAAGAATCGACATGACTTACGCTCCAGAATGAACACGGAAAGAGCCAACTTCATTGTTACACCATCCCATAGCCTGAAGAGAAGGATAGTCGTCGCTCAGCTCTCCTTTCCTTCCCAGGAAGTTTTCCCTCTCGAAGATGGACATCTTGCAGTCACGATGGTTCTGGAGAATAAAGAGAATTCTGTAAAATGTCTCTATAGATTGAATTACCTATTTGGTAGAACAAATGGAATAACACCAATTTGTCCATCACAAGGTATATTTAGTCATGTTATTAATGAGATGATGAAGAATCCTTAACTAAATGACTTACACAGATTTCCTTCAAATATATAGTTCTATTTTTTGATCGTGTGATTAGCCAAATATATGTGGCACATTAGTTCAAATTCCTTAATAAAGTTTGGCTTGGTGTGATGTTGTAATAATGATATATTGTGTAACTCTAGTTTATTTAAGGTTTTGCCAAATTAATGTTATACTGTTTTTACAGTCTGCTGCTTATTATCTTATTGTATGGTGAGGGTTATTTTCCACTTTTAGCTAGTGATCAAATATATATTTTAGATTGATTTTCTTTCATATCTTTGTGATTCTGTTGTCAGAAAGTCAGCACAAGATTTACATAATTAATAACTAATATCTGAAACCTGATAAACTTTCACCAGTTTTACTAGGTCAACATTTAGCTTGCAGCTCTCCCATGTTTCAGGTGTACAGTATCTTATATTGCCATATTAAATTCTGCTAGTTTATGCCATGAAAAGATCTCAGGAAATAAGACGATAAGTTACGAGAGTGAAACACGATGGTATACAGAACAATAGTAAAATAAGTAATACATTTTACTGCAACCCACCCGTGGGAACAATTAAGTGTAATATTTACTCAACAACAGAACATCACACTTTAAAAAATACAAAGAGGGATCTATTTAAAACTAAAGAAAATTACATTTTCCCACCACTAAATAATTAACACATAATCAGCGTGCTTTTTTTGTGAATGTCTTTCCAGAGACAGTTCTATAATTTAAAATGTAGGGGGGTGACAAATTCTCTTTTCCCGTGCCCATCATTCTCTGGCTCTCCCTATTTCTCCACCTGTAGGGAATTGTATATTGATCCCCAATACCTATCTCCATTCTATACTCAACACAGTGACAATTAGTCTGTTCTTTCACTTCTCCTCAAACTCTGTACCATTTTTCCTTCATCCATGTCTCCTGTTTTTCTCGTCCTCCCTTAACCCCTTAAGGACTGAGCCAAATGTACACCTTTTGATCAAAACAAAACGTAAACAAAACCTGGCATTTACGCTATATGTCTGTTCAACCGTAATTCACCTCTTTCATGCACCCACACTTATGATATATCATTTTGCAGAGGAGAAATAGGGCTTTCATTTAACATCAAATATGTAGCTATGAAACATAAAATTAATAAAATATAAAAAAAAGTGAGAAATTAAGAAATGTTGTTATTTTTTTAGTTCCGCATGACATTTTAACTGTGTAGGTCATAACACTGCTTGCTTTTACTGCAATAAAATACAAATATTAGTATTCAGCGATGTCTCACATGTAAAACAGTACCCCCTATGTACAAGTTTTATGGTGTTTTGGGAAGTTACAGGGTCAAATATAGCATGTTATATTTTTCATTTTTTTCACATTGAAATTCACCGGATTGGTTGTGTTGCCTTTGAGACCGTATGGTAGCCCAGGAATGAGAATTACCCCCATGATGGCATACCATTTGCAATAGTAGACAACCCAAGGTATTGCAAATGGGGTATGTCAAGTCTTTTTTAGTAGCCACTTAGTCACAGACACTGGCCAAAGTTAGCGTTAATATTTGTTTGTGTGTGAAAAATGCAAAAAACTATTTGAACACCAATTTTGGGCAGTGTTTGTGACTAAGTGGCTACTAAAAAAGACTGGCCCCGGCATCACTAATAGGCACGTGAGGGAGCTGAGCAGAAGGATCAGAGCTCCCTTGCCACCCTCCGCCCGCCTCCAGTCTGCGCCTGCCAGCCCGACTGCCCGCCGAGCTGCAGCCAGCCCCACTGGACCACAGGGAAGAATCCATTACAGCACTCCCAAAGGCTGGGTGGATTCAACTTGAATTTTGTTAATTTTAAATTGTGAATGTGTGTGTCTGTTAGTGAGTGTGTTAGTGTGTGTGTGTGTGTCTGTTAGTGAGTGTGTTAGTGTGTGTGTCTGTTAGTGTGTGTGTCTGTTAGTGTGTGAGTGAGTGTGTGTGTTTGTGTGTGTGTGTGTGTGTGTGTGTGTGTCTGTTAGTGAGTGTGTGTGTTAGTGGGTGTTAATGTGTGTGTCTGTTAGTGAGTGCGTTAGTGTGTGTATGTGTGTGTGTACCTGTTAGTGAGTGTTAGTGTGTGCATGTGCATGTGTGTGTGTGTCTGTTAGTGAGTGTGTGTACCTGTTAGTGAGAGTGTCTGTCAGCTAGTGTATCTGTGTCTGTCAGTCAACGTGTTTGTCTGACACTAAGTACATTAATGACTGTCAGTGAGTGTTGTATATGTGTTTGTCAGTGTGTATCTGTCAGTGAGTGTGTCCCAGTGTGTGTGTCTAACACTGAGTGAGTGTGTATGCATTTCTGTCAGTGAGCGTGTATGTGTCTGTCGGTGAGTGTGTGTCTGTCAGTTAGTGTATATGTGTGTCTGTCGGAGAATGAGAATGTGTGTGTAACTATGAATGAGTGAGTGTTTAAGTCTGTGAATGTGTATGTTTCATTGAAAGTGTGTGTTGGTTAAACAGTGTGTGTGACAATGACTGTGTATCTCTGAGTATATAACAGTGCATGCATCAGTAAGGGCGTGTGTCTGTCAGGAAGAGAAATTTGGAGTGGGGGGGTGCCAGAGTTTTGTCATACCTAGGGCAGCACAAAACCAGAATACACCACTGTAATGAACATTATGTTGTTCACATATCTGCGTAAAATACATATAACTAGAAGATTTAGCAAAGGTTGGTGATTATAGGGTTATTTGAGAAAGGTGAAAATGCTATTTTATATTCTGTGACTGTTATTAAAGTTATACATAGTCGTTTACTAAACTGTGAATTGTCAGGAATCCAAAGTGAATTTAACCTAAATTTTAACTTTTTCAACTTTTAGGCCAAAATAGCTGAACTGATGTGAATATTTTTTCAACTTCAGTTTTTTTGGCTAAAAAATAAAATTCATTGGGAATTCCTGACAATTCACACGTTAATGAATAACCCTCTCTGTTTGGGTTAGCAAATTGGGTTGAAATTTCTAGGTTGCCATCTCCACACTGAAAACAATCCCAAGTTCTACAATAAGTTCAACCAAAACTTACCAAGGTTGGTTAGATTAAAATAATGTTAATACATTCGAAATATTGTTTTCAGTGGCTTATGTAAAACAAATACGTTGAAGAAAACATGTTTCAATGTGATTTTCTTTTTAAATCTTGTTTTATTTAGTTTGTCAGAAGGCCGGTCTATCAGTATTATTGTGCTCCCTGTACAGGTATCCTGTTGAGTTTAATAACATTAGAGGCATATATACTTACAGCACAGGCAATTGGTCGGAAGGAAGTCATTCTCTCAACATGATAAGCATTGCTTCCACTCCAGGCTTCCCAGCGGGGATACTCTCCTCTTTCCAGAACAAACTGCTGACCCTGGAATCCTAAGTGTTCATAGCCAAGCCATCTAAAAGAAAAAAATAACATACAATTTAAGAGGCGTGTATTAAATGGGAGATATATTTCTAAATCCTAAAGCAAGTTCATGACATTGTCATGTTTGAAGCAATCAGTTCTAACAAATAAAGCCTGTGACATGTCTACTTTGTTTATTTGTACTATGTTAAGCCAATGTGCATGGTAAAGTTTAGGATTGTGGAGTTTCCCTGTGTCTGCTATCAATCTGGAGATATTATTTTGTATGTCAGCAACATGCTTCTTTTGGTTTTTATATACCTGAAAATACACCAAAGCAACATTTCGATTTTTAATAAATTATAATCAAAATAATTATAATGTTACTATTATAAATCATAATATTTAAAAATATGCATGTAGTATCTTAAATAATAACTTTTTCGATGTACAATTATTTATTCATTGTTAGATAGCATCCGCGATTAATTTATCCATGTACAATAGTTCTGAAAATATAATAATTACTCCAAGGACTTTTCTGATTTTTGTAAAAATTTTCTCACATGTATTTATGCATTGTTACATCATATGTTCACACACATACACATTATAACAATGCAAAAATTCAAATCTTAAAAAATCCAAAATATTCCAGCCTTGACAAATATCCATCTGATTTCTTTGGCTGAATTTTCTTCAGGGGTGTTAGTGTTACTGATACAATCTTCAAACAACTAAGTAAAATCAGATACATGTATATAATAAAATGCAATTCATAGCCCTGCCTTACTAAACACACAACCTGTTGTTTTACAAGATGTGTTGCTACCACACCAGCCAATCATCAAAGGGTTCCAATGTGACCACAACCAAATATAATGAAGGTATAAATTAGGTACTCACGCTCCACTCTCTATTTTAAATGATCGAACTGTTTCAAATCCAGATTCCATGATGTTATAGCATTCGGATGTGAATTCATGTCTGCGACCTTGGAAGCATTCCTCATCCCATACGATGATCTGCAAGGTAAGTAAGAACATGTGGAGTGGGGACTATGACTCACAATAATGACCAACAATAATAAGAAAGGGAAATGTTAAGGTACCATTGATAATCATGGCATGTCATGACTATTCTTGGTCAGTGGTGTACTCCAATGTTTAAAAATTATTTCTAATGCTAGTAAAGAATCTGTGCCATCGTACACCTGGGACACTTCTGAAATCAATATTAATCAATTAAAATAAATTATAATAAATCATTTCTTCTGTACAAGAAAGAGTGTTACTGTAAAATTGGGCTTCTGTACAATAAAGGCTCATTTTCTTTCCTCCACACATAGTTGTCAAAAAAAAGCTTTGGATGGTGCTTAGAGTGCAGTCAATGTTTTGAGCCATATAAGTTTATGTGCTGTTAGGATCGGAGAGGCCAGCTTTTCCAGTATCTCCGTCCAGAGATGAGCAATAATGAGTGTGAGGAGGGGAATGACTAGGTAAATGGGGCTAAAATAAGCCAATGTATACATGAGGATGGAAGAAATAGGTTAAAATCTGTGCGTGAATTATAACTGCTGTAAAAAAAAATATATATTTTATCAAAGTGTTGATTACCTTCCAGTGGCCAGCAAATTTAGTACAGTGTTGAGTCATATTGGCTCTATCCTGCGGAGAGAGGGAAAATCTTTGTTAGTAAGACAATGCTTTTATTTTCCTTTCACCACATCTTTTTATTCATTGATTATTCAATCTAGTAAACTGTCAGTTTATTTTACTGAGACATTGTCTTTATTGATCTCCAGTAAACAAACACATGAAAAGTGTAAAGAAGCATTAAAGTTCTGACTCGAATTCTGATTCAGTGTACAGGCCAATCAGAAATACACATTGAGGTATTTTAAATGGTATCTGTCTATATGATATATTTATACCACATACATTAGACAGACATAACAATTGACATATATATAGATATATAAACACAGTATAGTATAAAAGAATATTCCATTGAATAAAGAAGTTGAAATCCAAGTTGTACAGGTGAAATTAAGGGTTCCTTTTTTTGCACTCTGACAGTGTCTCTTTGAAAATTATAGCTCTGTCTGACTCTGGAAAACTCATTTAGGTGAATTAATAAATAAACATCATTTGTTTGCCTAGTGCCTTATGAGTGGGCTTAGTTAATGCTGCTTGCATTGGAAAGTTTTCAGAGGGTATCCCAGATGACTGCTCTAAAGTGCCTTGTTGATGTGCCAATCCCTGCATTAAGCAATCAGTTTGGCACAATATCCCCTGCTTGCGTCCTTGTGCAGTTAAAACTTGGATGCTTCTCCTCAGGTAGTAGCAACGTTTCTTCTGCAGTAGAATTGATTTTGTAAAATTTAAGTGAAAAGATTTATATAAAGAACGGTTCAATCTCACCTTCATTAAAAGACAAGTAAAAGAATATATTTTTGTCCATGATTTAAAACTGTGTGCCTACAAAGGGTATTTATTCTATCTTGCATTTCACAATCCTGATAAAACTGGTGGAAGACACCACGGCTTGGAAAATTTGATGTTGAGGATGAAATCATAGTAGATATTTGATTTTGCTACAGCAAAAATATATTTGAACACCTAGGCCACAATTTCAGTATTTTTTCTTTTTTGTTATCTGGGTCCTGTAATTCTATTTTAAATAAAGTGCAATTATCTACAGACAAACAGTAACAGGTGCACAATAAGACTGTACTAGTCTTGGGCCACGTATGGGCCACATTTTTAATTTTGTTTGTGCATTTGTAACTATATTTAACAACATCATTCTATTTGCCACCATAGTCATCTAAAGCAATTCATTTTAAGTAAGTGTACATGTGAGACTAAAACAGAAATTGTCTAGAATTGGCAAGGTAATTAGCAAATGAGGGCTAAAATAGCCAAACTGGAAAAATTCCGCTACTCGGCTATTTTTCCAGCTGCTGTTTTGGATTCAAATTGGAAATACGCATGTGAATTCTCACATTTAGTAAAAAAAAAAAAAAAACCTCCAATTTGTTGTTTTAGCTTGCAGACAAAGACAAATGCTTCCTCCAAGTTTATCTAAAGTTTATTCTGGACATACAATATTTCACCATTGGCAGCTACTGAGGACTATTTGCCATACTACAACACCTGAGGACTATTATCTTATCATCAGATATCAGTGAGACTGTTTCAATTATTTTTGGATGAACTTTGTCTATTGATTATATCTGGTTTTATTATCATTCGTTGATTTATTTATTTTTTTATTTTTTCAGCGCAGCCCTTAACCCCCTCTCTTGTATTTTCCTGTCTCTTAAAGGGTTCCTTGAGGGATTCCCCTTTTAGGGTTGCTGCTCTTTTGGTTTAGCGCAGACTCTTGCCCCCTTTTTGCTTTGTAATATGCAGAGATAAATAGTATCACAGGGTTATTTACCAAAGTGGCAATTCAAATGGAAATTCATAATGAAGGTCAAAGTAAAGGTCAAAATAGACTAAATAATAAAAAAAAATCTATGTCACCAATGCTTCTGTTTGGCTACTCTCATTGTTATTCACTAAAGGTGAATTGTCAGAAATGTAAAGTGAAATTCAAATTTAAGGTCATAAGAGTTAAAGTAGAAAAACATCTCCAGGTTAGCTATGCTTAGCAGTTGTGCTATTTTGGCCTTAGATCTGAAATTCACTTTTGATTCACTTTGAATTTCCAACAATTCAAACTTTAATAAACAACCCTGTAAATGTTATAGGTTATAAACAATTGTAGACAAAGTTCTTCAACGGCCATTAATTCATTAATTCCTCTAGTTCTTCAGATGTAGAAAAAAGGAGCTTTAAATGTTTTATGGGGAAATCATGCTGTATAATGACGTAACTTAAGCAATGTAGGCAACATTCTGACCAAAGTACAAGTGCACAGTTATAGTTACAAAGCCCATAATTAATGAAGAACAGATGCGTCTTTAAAATGATTTACTACTTTTGTGTCAGCAAAGGTGATTACTTAATCCAATAAGGCAGCATTCTGATGAACATATTTTATAAGACACATGATCTTGATGACAGTAAAGGTGATATTATATTGTTACCAAACCTGGTAAAATTAGCTGCCCTACTGGGAGTCATAAACTACAATACCTAGTGTTTACATTGCGTAATGCAATAACACACATACAGGTGGGTGGGCCAGAGAAGAAGATTTGTAGCGATAGAAAAAAACAACAACAATAGGTGGTGTGGCACTCCAGCATATAGCAGAAGAGGAACCAGCTCAAACCAGAACTTTCTCAATGGGATCCACTGTCCCCAACAGCATACAATGTACACAGAATCACAAGCTCCACGTTGTTAGCTAAAAGACTTGAAGTTATTTATAGTAAGGACATAATACAGTGATGGCTAACCTTGCCACCATAAATAGTTTCTGGACTGCATTTCCCATGATGCTCAGCTAGCTTTTAGACTCTAAAAGCTAGCTGAGCATCATGGGAAATGTAGTCCATAAACAAGTTATGGTGTCAAGGTTAGCCATTACTGACATAATAAAAGAACAAACAAACTGTTTCAGCCAAAAGGCCTTAATCAAGCCTGTAGCAGAAAAGTCACACATACTGTATAGTAGTTGTGCACAGAAGAACATTCCTGAACACATCATTCGTCAAATCTTGAGCAAATAGACCAAAGCAGAAGACAATGACAGCTTCCACTTTTATTAAAGATTATGCTACTCTGGATATTTACCCAGAGTACCATAATCCTTTATAAAAGTGGAAACTGGTCAATTGAAGATGTCTTGATGAATCTCAATTTCTGCTGTGAAGGGTCAGAATATGATGTAAACTGTTGTTGGTGTAACAGTGTGAAGAAGGCATTCATAGCATGCATTAAGCTGCACAATAAAATTGAGCATAATTCGAAAGATCTCAGTATACCTAATCATTGCTGCTGCCAAGAGCACTCCTTGATGGTCATAGCCCATGATATCTTTTAAATATTAAGGTAGTTTTAAAAGATATGTTTTAAAAGTATATTTAAAAGATATCATGGGCTATGACCATCAAGGAGTAGTATGTTATTTACAATTTACAATACACACAACATCTTAAGCCTGATCCATGAACATGATATAAAATTGAAGGGGATACTTGAAGACATGAATATGTGACCAAAAATTTGTAGGAATTATGTGATGATATAAAGCCAGCAAGAACTAAAATCCCCGAAGAAAACAGATTGTCCTGGAGGCAAATGGTTATCTGCCTGCAGGCTCGGACAGGTCACTGGGCAAACCGGGCAAATGCCGATGGGTCACGATGACCGAGGGACAAGACTGAGCAGGGAGATCAAAGGCTCTCCCCAGTTCACCCATGCAGGGCCAATGCTCAGTGAGCGCTGTCCATATAGGTAACTAAGTACCATTTATGTGCCGATGGGGAGACCAGAAATCTCAGTCATTGGCCCATTACTCACATATGCAGAGTGGTGAAGGGAGCATCATATCTCGCCTCCAGATAGGGGTCAAGTTCTCTGTTACTGTGAGCTCCTTTCACTGAGAAAATTGCCGTGGGTTAGAATGGCAACGCTCCCACTAATCACAGAGCTCATTTAAAGCAATGTGCCACCAGAGAGTGCATCCACCAGGATATTTCTCCTTTTTTTTTATTTGATTAGATTTTTAATTTTAATTAACATTAACTTTTTCTTCCCCTGTGCACCCTAACCCCTATGCATCCACACACATGACAGACCCTGTACATACACACTAAAGCCCCCCATATACACACAAACACACACACACACAAAACAGCTCCTATTAAAACACATTTTAGTCGCATACACATACACTACAGCCTATATAAATATACACACACTACAACCAATATACATGTACATTGGATATATGTATACATACACTACAAGACCCTAGATCCACATACACCCTTGAAACACAAATACATGCACTACACCCACTAGACACACACACAAAAGCCCCTATAAACACATACTACCCTGCACACACAAACTACAGCCCCATACATAAACACTCACATTACAGCCCCTGTACACACATGCTACAGCCACTAGATACACCCAAACAGACACATCAGCCCCATGTACACATATATACACAATATACCCTCTAGAATCATACACTCCATAGACAAATGCTTTCTTTCTCCCTCTCTACAACCACTAGCTAGACAGACGACAGTCACACATAATCTTTACACAGTACAATCCCTAGCCACACACACTTCACCAGAAACAGTTGCCTATACACACAAGTACTCCCAAAATCAGCCTCCAACCACATATAGCACCACAGGCAGCATCCCTGTACATGCACAGAACCCTTTACCGGCCATTTACCAATTTTGTCTTCTGGTCCCTCTAATATTGACAACAGAGACAAGGCACCAGTTAACACAGAGCTGTGCTGTGTTACACAAACACAGGAGTTTGTTCAGATGCAAAAGCTCTTCATCAGGGTTCTGCGCATGAGATGCCCTGGAGGGACAGCAAACTAACGTACTCACTTTGACATGACATGCACCATCTCTGTCCCCACCACCTCGTACTGGGCTGCTATACCAGAATTTTTTTTCCAGTACAGCCTTGCCTACCTGGAATTGCATATGTCTTATTAATAAAGTGGCGACATTAATTGAACATATTTTGTATTATAATAGAACAACTAACGGCCACGCTTTTGTCTAACAACTAAATATTCTGCACCTTGTCTGTTTGCCCTGACCATTCTATAATCTGTAATATTTTCCTAATGTCTAGTAAGATGCTTGAAAATCAAATTCTGATATGGTTCACCATCAGCATAGCTTAACAATTCAATATCCTCAATTAAGTAACCTGATGAATGAATAGCTCACAAAGAAAAACATCCTTGCTTTTATAATGTGCCTGAACACCTACAGCTCTGCAATGTGTCAGATAAAATGACCCATTTCGTACCACGCACGTCATCTATACTGACTCACCCCTCTTGACATTTAGTTGAGAGAATTTCAAAAGATTAAAAAGACATTTGAAACAAAGCAAAGGATGAAATGATGTTCTACTGCTATATAAAGGCCCAAACACTATTGGAAAAAAAAAGATTGAGTATTGCAATAAACACTGCATTGCTGTTTGTTAGTGTTAACTATCCCTTAGTCTTTTCATTTTATAAAAATGTGTTTAATCATGCACTTGTTTCTATCTTTCTCTTTTACTTCTCTACTGATGCAGCATAGTTGTTTTTAGAAATAAAAAAAATGGTGTCCATGATCAATGGTTAGACAAAGATCACTTCTACATTGAAACTATACTACTCAAGTATAACATTTCAAAAATGGCTCCCCAAGGGACTTGTTAGAACAAATGAGCCGCAATATTTGCAAACTGCTGTTCCTATTATTATAGTTTTACCACACGATATCAAAATGACAATGATAACCTTTCCATATCCTGCTACTTTCAAAGTAAATAGGATATATAAAGATAGATATATGGATTTAACGAGTCTGCCAAATAAATAGCACCATTTATATGTTTTAGATCACAAACTGGCTCCTTAAATATTCACCACATTGTCACTTTCATCCCAGATGAGATATTCAAATACACTTCTTATATTATTCGGGGCCCTCTCTCCACAAGAGCTGCTGGCTTTCTGACGACGGTTATGAAATCAGAGAGGAACCAATATATTTTAAACAGATGACAGATCAGTTGCTGTAAGTACATTCTGTCATCTGCACTAGAGCAAATATGGCTATTCTTCATGTCAAAATATTTGTCTCGGCACTGTAATTTGACTGGCTTGAGAACGTGATTGATATCTCAATGTATTTCTCCTTGAGAAACACGTTAAAAATGAATGCTGTTTAAAGTGGTGTATGCTATCCTACTCATCTTGTTTAATGCCCTGTCTTTCGTCCCAGAATGCATTTGAAAGGCACTCAGGTAGTTAAATCTGATTAAAATGGGTAATGTATTAGAAATAGAAAACCAACAGAAAAAATAGCAAACTGTCCGACGTGTATCAGAAATTAATAAATAATTATTTACTATAACTTGTTACGGGGTGTACTAACAAAATTGATAGATAGATAGATAGATAGATAGATAGATAAATATTTGTATGCATCAAGATTAGTGCATGATTCTTGCTTTAGTGGTATAAACTCTGACGCTTGGAAGCTGAAAAGTCATTCTATGGATTAAATAGGAGGTGGGTGGTTTTCAGACTTTGCTGCCATCCATGCAGATTATCACTGGCTTAATTTAATCATGCTGATGCTCATGACAATGTGCCCCTTATTGTGTGTTCATATGAGCAGTACTAACATCACTGCGCATAAATCATTGTATGTGCTCTTTCTATCACCATTATCCTAAACTGGCTGAGGCTTATTGATAACCAGCAAAATATCTGCCCAAGGATAGTTTCACCTCACTAAGAACATTTGCTATGGTGTTATCTTAATTGACTGTGCTTGGCTTGATATTTTTTTTATTCTGACCGTTGGGTATCTGACCCTAACTTGCACTGTTTATTCTCAGTCTACTACCATTAACAACCCATTGGTTAGTTATTTAGGATATTTAGTTACCTGACTGCCGGTATTTTATTACCATCTTTTAGAGAGTGTCTGAGTTTTGTTAAACCAGGCCAACTAAAAATCCAGTGATATTTCTCTTTATCGCTTTCTTGTTTCTGCTTTTAGGCATCTGACACAAACTGTCAAGACAGCGATACACAATGTTTTTAGCCCACGGCAATGTTTTGTCCTACTTAGCTCAAAGTTTTAAAGACTGCTGACCATAGGAATTTTTATCCCATAAAGAAACATCTCCTTCTTAGTATTAGAGTTAAAGACCTCACCCAGTGGTCAATAGTAAAACGTTCTTGCAATAAAAACAAGGAATGCAGAGGTTTAACAGATTTGTGAAAAGTTCCTACAAATGACTTTCTATAATCCATCAATAATATGCATTCTTTCTATATGTGAACTCCAGATTTTATCTGACAAATCAAAGCAGTCACATCTATGTGCCTAGTTTACGCTATTTCTTTATAAACAACTTAAACTCAAAATACTTGTACTATCAATTATTTATCTTTAGGTTGTAAAATTTAGCGAATAGGGTCCTAATACTTTGCTACTTAAGCTTATTTAATATATTTCCGTTATACTGTTAAATTGTATGGAGTTTATATATAATAATATATATATTATTTTTTCCCCCTTGCTCACCACTTCTTTTTATTTATTTTTAAGTATTTATTAAAGGCTTTTATAAAGTGCCAGAATATAAAAATAAATTAAATGTCTTCCTATCTACTCTATTCCAATTATCATGCTATCAGTAAATCTCTTTACTCTGTATACTGTTTAACTATATGCAGTATATTCAACTGTAAGCAATATTAAACTAAACTATTGGTTGTAATAAATGTAATGTTTAGAGGGACATGTATATGAATAGATCCCATAGTATAAAATATAAGTTGTCTGTCAATAATTTATTTACTATGTATTGAGCACGTTCATTGGGGACCTCTGGGTTCTAAATTCTTAGTTTCCCTCATAAATGGAAATCCAATAATCTAATGTGCTAACATTCAGCTTATAAGGTTTGCCATAATGCAGTTCTTACCTTACTGAGAGCAAGCAACTGAGTGTCCAGTGGAAGCAACATGCCAGCTAGTTTTTGTGGTGGGGTTTATATAGCCTGCTGATCAAGTCACAGAGTGGCAGAGCCAGCTTTAGTGAAAGCCTTATGTCAGCACATGTTCTGAGGCCTCATTCAGGAGCACAGTAGTTGGAACAATGAATTTAATCTATAGAGGAGATGGTAATGTATAGAAATGCAAGCAAATCAGCTTTAAAATGAGCAGTCAATATGTTTTTTTTATATTTAAGGATTTGTAAATGTATGCTCTGGACATAATGAGTTGTTTGAAATGTTTTTGTTGGGATATATTGAGTCTACAGGGGCGACACTATATGGGAATTTGCATTGCTAGATTTTTGTAAGCTTGTATAAGTAATATTTGGATTGGTGTGTTTGGCAATTTGGAGAGGCTCGTAGAAAAGAGTTCTTAGTTAACATAAAATAATTGAAAAGGTAGGCACACTGAACTAAACACACAGAATAAACCTATAAATAGTAATATGTGGCTGCTCACTCAAAAGGTCCTATTCCCCATGAAACCAAAATACAGAATGCATATATAATAGCCTATATAATATATAGCATATATAATATATAACCAATATACAGAATGCATATATAATAGCCTATATAATATATAGCATATATGATATATAACCAATATACAGAATGCATATATAATAGCCTATATAATATATAGCATATATGATATATAACCAATATACAGAATGCATATATAATAGCCTATATAATATATAGCATATATAATATATAACCAAAATACAGAATCCATATATAATAGCCTATATAATATATAGCAAATATAATATATAATCAAAATACAGAATGCATATTTAATAGAATGGGGAGCACACCAATGTAAAATAAATCAAATGCCTTTATTAAATACACTAAACATATATGGTCTACATTAGAAACATCAAAGGGCACTTGTAACAAAATAATGCCAATATGATATGCAGTAACAATATTATTCAAAATGGATACCTAATATATCAGTATACAGGAATATTCTATTACCAATACCAAAATACACAGTACAAAATTATCTATACACCAATAAAAAAATTGTTAGCTTGCTAAACACCACAAATCATGGAAAAATGAAATATTCACAAAGATAGCCAAATTACATACCAAAAATGTAAAGATAAATGATAATGAGAGAAGGAGGATAATCAAGGAAATACCCCCAATGTTTCGGCCAAAATGCTTTTATCAAGGGAGCATGTCAGACAAAGTATTACTCAATCTCTTATATATCATCAAGAGGAATTAGTAATGAAAAACACCTGGACATATGGGTGACCACTCACTAGTGAAATCCTCCCAATCATGATCATATCGTCATGGTTGTCAAGGAAACCAAACATAAACATACGCCAAACGTAACAAAAAAATATTAAAATGAACATGAACACATAACTTATACTGACAAATAATTGTAAACTCAAAGTGTATATTATCAAAAAGAAGAAAGTCTTCATTATCTCTGTGCAGCTCAAAATATACATAAGATTCTCATTCATTCTAGAAACATGTGATGGAACTCATATGCGTTCCACCAAAGTTATCCGGTCTGGACAGATCCAGAAATAGAATTCCAAAGCAAGGGTATCATCATTATATGTGCGTACAAACGTGCCCAAAGCAAGCGCCAAATTACATTACAAAAATAAATGTTTAGTTTGGAAAAACGGCGCCTGAGAGGGGATATGATAACTTTATACAAATATATTCGGGGCCAGTTAAACCTTTATCTGGAAATCTATTCATAAACAGGGCTATACATAGGACACAAGGTCACACATTTAGGCTGGAAGAAAGGAGATTTCATCTAAGTCAAAGAAAAGGTTTTTTTACAGTAAGAACAATAAGGATATGGAATTCTCTGCCTGAAGAGGTGGTTTTGTCAGAGTCCATACAGATGTTTAAACTGAAATTGGATAAATACTTACAAAAACATAACATACAGGGATGTAATTTCTAATTAGTGGGGTAATAGCTGCTTGATCCAAGGAGACATCTGACTGCTATTTTGGGGTCAAGAATGAATTTTTTCCTAGTTTGTGGCAAAATTGGAAGCGCTTCAGACCAGGTTTTTTTTGCCTTCTTTTGGATCAACAGCAACAACACTTGTGAGGAAGGCTGAACTTGATGGACGCAAGTCTCTTTTCAGCTATGTAACTATGTAACTATGTAACAAAAAGCATGAGCTGACCACACATGCGCGAAATGAACAAGGATGAACCCATAGTTATACTAGAAGACCAAACCAACTTGATTAAAGTGAACCCATGAATGCTGCCACGAAATTAACGGAAAACACAACGCGAACCGAATGCGCATGTGCGAGCCAAACAAAAATTACAGAGTCTCTGCTGGAAATTAGAAAAACTCCCAAACAAACTAATAAAGCGCTTCCATCAGTAAAACAGGGAAAGTATCAGACTTGGGCTGCAAGTTGACATAGGAAGCATTCATTGTGTCAATTATGACATATCTAGCCCTGAAGCACATCGACTTCTTGTGGTTCCCTTTTGATCACTATTGCTCGTTCTTGAGGTTGTGATTAATTCTAGTTTTTGATGCAGCTTAGTCCTAACTCTCTCGGCTTCTCTCTCTGTTCTCTCTGATTTCTGGTATCCCACAACCTTGGCCTGTCTGTGACTATTTCCTTTGTTATACATGTCCTTGATAATCAGTGTTACAAAAAATAAGTTAAAGAACTCATATTGTTCTATTACTCAATAAAGGTGGTTGCTGCAAAATGTCAGGATACTGCAGCAATTTAACTAAAAATCTAAAGTAGTTGCAAACAGAGGAACTATCAAAGAGTAAAATCAAAATTGTTCTGAAGCAGTTATTGACCAATAACCCTTAGTCTAATACAAGAAAATGATACAAATGTGAAAATATAAACAAAAAGGGGAGAGCACACACAAATAAACATATACAATATTACCATAAAATTGACACCTGAAAATAAATAAGAGAACAAATCATAGTGCATTAACTGTAAATAACATGGATAAGAAAATTGCCCCGTTAGTTCCTCTCACATATTTCTGATAATACAAATGTAACAACTTAGACATCCTCAGATGATTTCTAGATACTCTAAAGAGAAACTCGGTATCTAATCACCCTGATAGTGTATCTAATGTTACTCAAATAATCAACAGTGAATAAGGATAAGTGTGTATTTTTCTGACACATTGTAGCACAAAGGCAAGATCCACTAAACATTGTTATATTGATCTCCTGCTGCAAAGTCAAAGACAGAGAATGGATGAGATATCATATTATTATTCAGATATCGCACATTAGAACTATAATAACAGTGATAAAGAATAATCATTCCAATAGCTACCAAACTGCAGAATTATGTTAAAGGTTTTAACGCAGTAAACTAATGTCTGTTGTTGATCTGTTTGTGCAAATGATCACTCATAAAATGTAAAATTTCATTGTACATAATCTATAAAAAAAAAATACATAAAGAGAATCAACACAGTAAAGGAGGAGACTATATTTAAAAGAAGAAAAACTACGGGGGCGGAGCTAGCCGCCTAACGGAGAGGCAGCATACCTTAGAGCTCCGAGATACTCGGATGAAAAATAGAGATTTTAAAAGTGATCCGCAGCCCACAACACACCACCCAACCTTGTATTTGCTGTGGGAAGGTGCCATGGGGTGTAAAAAATGGAAAAAAAAGTGAAAGCTGGTAGGGGACCGATGAGCTGCGATATTGGAGAACTCCTCCGAGGCTCGCAACGCATGGCCTGGGTCAAGATGGCGCTGGAGGGTGAAAAATCCTCATGCTCCTCAGAGGATATCCCCTTCGATGCAGGAGCAGGGGCATCTCACAGCCTGCCAAAGGGGCCACACACTAAGAAACCCTCTGACAGTGACCCGGTCACGGCGGGGCAACTGAAGCAAATGCTGGCTGAGCTCAGGATGAATCTGGCGGCAGATATGAACTACTACAAGGATGCCATAGAAGGTGCTACTATTGAGATAAACCTTAGAAGAGGGACTTTATTTACACCCACCTTTTTTATCCATATTTAATAAACTGTGAGGATCAGTTTGTATCCTATATACTCGGAATTTTGTGACATGCCATTGGTTCATACCAATCATAAATGGAAGTGCCATATTTAAACAAGTGCCATGACCCTAATCTCTTTTAAGAGCCATTTAGGCAAAACATGCATTGCTTTTCGTGGTGTCTGAAGTTGAGAGAGTGAGACAGAGGGATGATTGTTGTTTTTATACATAATGATTATACATCATGGGGCACTACAGATTTTAATTGATGTGATAGTCATTGTGTTAGATTCCACTAGGGCAGAGGGTCCCAAAAAAGTAGATCCCCAGATATTTTTAAACTACAGCAACCATGATGCTTTGATATTCTAAAGCATTCCATGGGCACACAAAATACCTAGAGCTCTACCTTTTGGGCAGCCCTACTGTAGGGTACATAGAGAAATTAGTCTGTGTAGTATATTTTGGATGACAGGTGCCTTCCAAGGCACAGTGGTAGAGTTTTTAGGGAAGGATATATTGGGGATTTATTCAGTTTTTGGTTTTTTTCAACTTTTGTTTATTTATTTTCATTTAGGCATTATTTCTCACCATTATTTGTTCACTGGTGTGGCGTCATTATTATTTTTGTTTTTGTTTGATTTTATACCTCTCCTCTTTGTTTCCATGTATTGCTATACCTGACTATATGGACAAGGGGCTTTATATTGGTGGATGCCATGGCAATTAGTAGCTAGATACATGATTCTTAACATTACGATCATTAACCAATAGAGCTCCTTAGAATGGGCGAGGTAAAGTAGTCAGCATTGAATGGGTGCAATTAGATTAATACGTGAATCTAGCTCTGAACATTACTTTAGTGGAGTATTACATTGTTGCTTTAAAACATCTAACATAATTCTGCAGATTTGGAGCTTTTGGTGTAATTATCATTTAACATGTCATACTTGACCCAATAATATGATATCTCATCCACTCTAAATATTTTAATTCGCTGCAGGAGATCTATATAACACTGCTTAGCAAATATTGCCATAATGCTACAACAAAGTGTCAGCAAAGTACAATGTGTCAGCAAAGTACACAGTTAACAATGTGATGGCAGATAAGAACCATTCGGCCCATCTAGTCTGCCCAATTTTCTAAATACTTTCATTAGTGCCTGGCCTTATTTTATAGTTAGGATAGCCTTAAGTCTATTCCACGCATGCTTAAACTCCCTCACTGTATTAACCTCTACAACTTCAGCTGGAAGGCTATTCCATGCATCCACTACCCTCTCAGTAAAGTAATACTTACTGATATTATTTTTAAACCTTTGCCCTTCTAATTTAAGACTATGTCCTCTTGTTGTTGTAGTTTTTCTTCTTTTAAATATAGTCTCCTCCTTTATTGATTCCCTTTATGCATTTAAATGTTTCGATCATATCCCCCTGTCTCGTCTTTCCTCCAAGCTATACATGTTAAGTTCCTTTAACCTTTCCTGGTAAGTTTTATCCTGCAATCCATGAACCAGTTTAGCAGCCCTTCTCTGAACTCTCTCTAAAGTATCAATATCCTTCTGGAGATACGGTCTCCAGTACTGTGTATAATACTCCAAGTGAGGTCTCACCAGTGTTCTGTACAATGGCATGAGCACTCCCCTCTTTCTACTGCTAATACCTCTCCCTATACAACCAAGCATTCTGCTAGCATTTCCTGCTGCTATATAACATTGTCTGCCTACCTTTAAGTCATCACCAGAAATAATTACCCCTAAATTCCTTTCCTCACATGTTGAGGTTAGTACTCTATCAAATATTCTGTACTTTGACCTTGGGTTTTTACGTCCAAGATGCATTATCTTGCACTTATCCACATTAAATGTCAGTTGCCTGGACCATTTTTCCAGCTTACTTAAATTGTTTGGCATTTGGCTTATCCGTCCTGGAACACCAAACCTGTTACATTTCTTAGTATCATTAGCAAAAAGATATACTTTACCATCAAGACCTGCAATATCACTAATAAAAACATTAAAGTGAATGGGTCCAAGTACAGATCCCTGAGATACCTCACTGGTGACAAGACCATGCTTCGAATATACTCCATTGACTGCAACCCTCTGTTGCCTGTCACTCAGCCACTGCCTTACCCATTCAACAATATTGGAATCCAAACTTAAAGATTCCAGTTTATTGATAAGCGTCCTATGTGCAATAGTGTCAAAAGCCTTACTGAAATCTAGGTAAGCAATGTCTACTGCACCACCCTGATCTATTATTTTAGTTACCCAATCAAAAAAATCAATAAGATTAGTTTGGCATGATCTCCTTGAAGTAAACCCATGTGATCTCTGATCTGATTTTAGATGTCCAACAATCCTATCCTTTAACATGGTTTCCATTACTTTCCCCACTACTGAAGTAAGGCTTACTGGCCTACAGTTGCCCGACCCCTCCCTACTACCTTTCTTGTAAATGGGCACAACATTCGCTAACTTACAATCTTCTGGGGCTACTCCACAGTTATCCTTTATTCATTGGTAATCTTTTGAGTAACATACAATATAATATCAGGGTCAGTGGATACTGTGTTATACTTTAGACCAGGGGTAGGTAACCTACGGCACTAGTGCCATACATGGCACTCGAGGTGTCTTTACACGGCACTCAAGGCTGCAAGAGCCAAACAGGCTCTGGCCTATCAGGAGTCTCAGTGAAACTTCAGATATCTGCTAATACGAAAAGGTGGTGAAGGACAATCTTCAATTTATGCATTGCAGAATGTAGAGTAAGTGATCTCAAATCACTTCATCCAAGCACTTGTGAATGGGAATCCAAACTGTAGTAGAGCAGCCCACAGCTGCTGTTGCAGCTCCTGTCCTTGACCTGTACCTGGACAGCCTGGTCCGCACTGGAACCCAGGGAAGCCACACACACTGCTAGATATACACAGAGCTGCAGAATAACCCTCCCCTCATACAAATAATACGAACAGCCCACACACAAACATACACACAATCCCCACAAACGCAATACCACTAACAATCTTCATACATGCACACAATCCAACATGCAGCCTCTCACATGCAAAACCCCAAACAACCCCCACACACTACCAAACACATAATGTGACATATCCACCCACACACAATTCCACAAACAGCCCTCATACACCGCCCACATTCATGTGTATCATACACAATACCATAAACTACTAATGAACATATACAATATAATAGCTCATTGTAACAGATCACCTGGCACCCCGACTGGGTACCTCCGTTGAAGGATGCTCCTAACGCTTCCTGAGGACTCCATGAACTGCAGCAGACACCACAACCACCAAATCGGAGAAGCATACGAATGCTCTCAAGCATATGAATGCTGTAAGCAGCTGAACAGGAAAAGCATACAATCAGCTTACACTCCTGGCAATCAGCATACAATCCAATTCCCCCAATAACGAGACGACACTTCGTTTTGAGGTCAAGCAGAACTGACTGGACTGGCACATACAGCCTCTTTTATTCACAATCCACAAATATAGTACTGCCCACAGGGTTTTGAAACACAGCCAATCAATCCATACAATACACACAGACACTCCCAGACAAAATCCTCCCCTCTGCCTGTGATAGGATTACTGAACACAATGGTTAATCTAATTATCACAGGCAGAGAAATACAGTATTATAAAACACATCACAGGGACCCCAAAACATGCAATAACCCCACAAATCCTTGGAACCGGGGGATCTGAGTGAACCACATATCCAAAATTCACCCAGATCCATTCAGTACTTTGGAAGATACAGTTTAATGCAGATTCCACAGAAGATATGCAGCCTAAATGAAAAACAATTACTGTATAATATGTCCCCTGTTGTACAGTCCAAAACCACTGCACGATGTCTCTGTGCACCAAATACCGGCGAGATCGCACCGTGTTGAAAAGTCCAAACAGTGTCTGGGAGTTAAAATGGCCGCCATCCATTGTTCTCACCATGTGCTTCATCCATTGTTCTCACCATGTGCCTCTGATACATGAAATGGTGGCCACCCAGTAACTCCACATTATGTCCCCAGATGGTTCTTTAAGGGCCAGCAGCAGCACAACACAAATCCATTATGCCCAAATCATGTCTTTAAAGGGCAATACATCCCAGGGGCCATAGTCACATGGCAGGAGGCTGGCAATCAGTCTTCTCCAATGCCCAGTGGCGAGGTCGGTTTCGCCACACTCATATACGCACAAATACAACGATACAAAGCAATTACAGTAAAAATAACAAGCAGAATACGGCAGCATACACACGATTTAAAAAAATAGGATCGGCACGCTACGGGACATCACAATGCTGTATCGCACAGTGCTGTTAAAAGTTTGCCTACCCCTGCTTTAGACTATCTAAAAATAAGCTGAGGATTTTTTAGTTGATACATTTGTAGCTTCTTTGTTCACTGGGCACTGTGTGTCTCTTGTGCTTTGTTGTAAGTCCTTCACACAATTTACCTTTCATGGTTGAGCAATTACCTTTAGGACTTGCGTATGTCACGACTGCTAGTGTGGTCCAGCACGCATAACTATGTAACATCTACAAAGACAGAATAGCAAAAGGACAGAATGTAAACCGGTCCTTATAATGGCCGTATTAATACGTTGAAAGACAGAGAATGGTCAATGGAAAGCCGAGGTCAAGGAAGCCAGAAATACACAAGAACAATATGGAAAGGCAAGTCAAGGGAACCAGAAATCAGAGTAGTCAAGGATAGCCAAGGTAAAAATACCGTGAAGATCAAATACAAGACAAGAAAACGCACTCTCGGGAACCAGGAACTGACACCACGACAGGGCAATGAGCTAGGGAAGTTCAAGGATTTAAATATCCTTCCTTGTGCTGTGATTGGTCAAAGCATGACTTCTGACCCCAGAACAACGTTGTGACGTCACACGCACATTCACTTGACCCTGGGGCGGGGCTATAAATGGGCACAACTGCTTGGTCGGCACCATTTTGTTTATTAACAAAGGGGACGGAGGCCCCAGCGGGATGGCTCCCGGATCGTCTGCGAGCAGGTAAGTTCAGCCTGTCAGCACGGTCGCACCGATCAGGTTGTGTGGATGGTGCTATTTTCCATTAGTAGACTTTAATTATTTAATCACTTTATTTTCTCGTTTTAGTCACTTTGTTAATTACTGCAAACTGTTTTGATTTTACTCATCGATATGCAACTACTTTGGTTTTGGATAAATCATTGCAGTATTCTGATACTTTGCAGCAACTACCTTTATTGAGTAATATAATAAGCAGTTATTCTGATCTCTTTACATTAGTCTAGCGATATTAACTTCATTGTGTTCTTTATTGGAAGAATATTATTACTAAGGGGACCGTCCTTTATCTATATGAAATCATTAAAGTTATATTTAGTTTTTTTTGCTATATAAACTTTGTTTCACATTTTGTCATTTTACACTTATACTAATCTGATATTTTATTTATATGTATATATATTCCACTCTTATTTTCCAGTGATGTTTTATGACGTAAAAGTAGCATGACATATGATTTCCTTCTTAGCCAACATCACCTTAGATTTGTAGTACTTTCTGTACATTGTATTCTGTATTTTATTCAAACTATTTTTTATTTTTTTTATTCAATAAAAGTTACATTCTATTATTTTGTATGACTGTGAAATATTCTCAGTATTTTCATAGAGATCCTTGATAATGTTAAGCAGGCCTTTTTAAGGACCAGTAATACTTCTATCCTTCTCTACGAATCATGATAGTGTTGAAGTAATGTGTAATGGAGTGTTCTGTAACAGGACACTATCAAGGTAGAGAGACATAATTTAAATCCACACATTTTATGCAGTGGTGGGGGAGGTGGGATGGGGTTATGCTTGTTCATGTTTCTAATTCAAGTTCTTGATAATTGGACAGGTTTCCAGGGCCATCTTTAACGCAGGGCAAATGGGGCAACTGCCCCAGGCCCAGTGACTGCAGGGGGCCTAAAGCAACTGCCCCATGGGCCCGGCTGCCCTCAAGAATTTCTTTCCCTGTCATTGCCGCCAGCCGGAGGCCCACACATTAAGTAGGCCCACCGGGTGGCCCATGCACTTAGGGCCACCCGGTGGGCTTGTTTTTAGCAAAGGCCCGGGACTCTTCTATAAACAAAGCCCCTTGCTTTTCGTTAGCTGTCTGGTAGGAAGTAACAGTCACGAGTCACTTCCTCGAATAATGAGAGAAGTCGTGCGGGAAGGGGCAGGAGGAGCCGCGCGGGAGAGAAAAGGAGGAAGTGGCGGAGGGGGGCTCCTCACTCCCATCAGCCTCAAGAACACTAGACCCTAGGAAAGCCACCCTCCAGAAAAAGGTAGGAAACCGGAGGGTGGGTTTCAAAATTAAAATTTTACATGTATGTCTGTGTGTGTGTGTGTGTCAGTCTGTGTGTGTGTGTGTCAGTATGTCTGTCTCTGTGTGTGTCAGTATACCTGTCTGTGTGTGTGTCAGCATGTGTGTGTGTGTGTGTATGTCAGTCTGTGTGTGTGTGTGTGTGTGTGTCAGTCTGTCTGTGTGTGTCAGTATGACTGTATGTGTGTGTCAATATGTCTGTCTGTGTGTGTCAGTATGTCTGTCTGTGTCAGCATGTCTGTCTGTGTTTGTGTCAGTATGTCTGTCTGTATGTGTATCTGTGTGTGTTAGTATTTATGTCCGTATATGTGAATGTGTGTGGGTCAGTATGTCTATCTGTGTGTCAGTATGTCTATCAGTGTATGTGTCAGCATGTCTGTCAGTGTATGTATGTGTGTGTCAATATGTCTGACAGTGCATGTATCTGTGTGTCAATATGTCTGACAGTATATGTGTCAGTGTATCTGTATGTTGTCAGTGTGTGTATCTGTATGTAATCAGCTTGTGTATCTGTGTATCTGCATGTGTATCAGATACACATGCACATTTAAAACACTGACAGACAGTTTGTCTGTCAGTGTACATGTGTGTGCCAGTATATCTGTCAGTGTATGTATCAGTATGTCTACCAGTGTATGTGTCTGTGTTTGTACATCTGACAGTGTAAGTGTCTGTTTATCTGTATGTGTGTGTGCATCTTTATGTCTGTGTACATCTGCATCTATTTTGTGTCAGTGTGTAGCTGTGTGTATGTGTATCACAGTGTGTGTGTGGCAGTGTATGTGCATATGTGCATACATCTCAGCATTGATACACCAAAACTACATACACATACACCACTGCATTCAAACTTCAACACTACATACAAACACACTCCTGCATTGAAACATCAACACTACATGCATACAAATATAAACATTTTGGTGTTAAACACCAATAATATATAAACAAGCCCCTTCATTTAAAAACTAACACTACACCTAAATGCATGCTTGCATTCAAACGACATATACAAACACACCCCTACATTTACACAAACATACTCCATGCAAAAACATGCTTACATTCAAACACACCAATGTGTCTCAGTGCTAAATACAATCTTGCAAGCATGGGATATTGGTATAGCCCCAGCTGTCAAAACATTGTTGGAGTTGCACAACAGATAGGGATCTACCTTCTGGTCACCCTTGTGATTGGGGGGCCCAAATAAATTCTTGCACCAGGGTTATTTCTACTTTAGTCTGTCACTGTGTTGGGGTGGAGGGCTTGATTGCATGCCAGGGAGTGAGGGGGGAGGTGGCGGGGGCAGGGTGCAGGGGCCCAAGCAAATGCTTGCCAAGGGTCCAATCAATATTAAAGACGGCCCTGCAAGTATATTGTAATTAGCAAATTTGCTTTGTACAATCATACATGCTTATTAACCATATATATTTTCAGAATACCCTTATTAAAACTTCGACAAACTACAATTTCACCAACTGAGCTGTTATGTGATGAATATGCAGGTATACAGGTTTATTTACTTATTAATATATTCACTGAATGAGACATATTATTACAGATTATTACTACATATTCCCATAGAAGATATTGCATCCAGCCTGCCAGGGTGAAAACCAAAACACTTAACTAGAGTTGAGCAGATACCTGGATGTTCGCGTTCGGAGGAACTTTGAAAAAAAATCCGGTTTCAGGATCGAACTTGACCCCGAACTCGAACCCCAGTGAAGTCAATGGGGACCCGAACGTTTGGGCACAAAAATAACTCTAAAAAAGTCCTGGAAAGGGCTAGAGGGCTGCAAAAGGAAGTAAAATGGGGGTAAGAGCAGGACAAGTGCCCTGCAAACAAATGTGGATAGGGAAATCACTCAAAATAACATAAAATAAGCAGCTGCTTACTAGATAACTCCCACGGTATCAGGGAGCTATCTACCAAAGGCTGAAAGACCTAAATTGGTCTTTCTGCCAAATGTACTAATACTAAGTAAAGATTACTTAATATTAGTAAATTCAGCACCTACTCGCTGTACTATTTCCTTTCCTAATGTGTTTTATACCCCACCTCCTATAGAATGTAAGCTCACTTAAGCAGGGCCCTCTTCAACCTATCGTTCCTGTAAGCTTTCTTGTAATTGTCCTATTTATAGTTAAATCCCCCCTCTCATAATATTGTAAAGCACTACAGAATCTGTTGGCGCTGTATAAATGGCGATAATAATAATAATAACCACTATGGTAATACCATGGTATTGGAGGTCTGATGTAATTCCTGCTATTAAAGAGGTATTAACATTGGCCTTAGAGAATAAGTGCTATGAGATTCACCTCAGATTGCCATAAAACACAACAGAATCATTAACTTACCACTGGAACATATGGGAGGATAATGTCAAAAGAAAATAATCTTTATGATGACATTTGTGCCAGATTGTAGTTTTTTGTGCCTCTCCTTTTACTCTTGTTCTGTTTGTATACGCAACTGTTTGTACACTATTTATCGCCAGTACGTGTAAAGTGCTTTAACACCTTATTTGACACTGTGTAGTTTTTTCATAAAGCATATGTTATCAATTTTATAATGGATGGACACTTTTCCCCATGTTTCCGTTTGTTTGTTTAATTTATATGTTTTCTTTATTCCATATATTTCATTGTTTTACACTGATTATTATTATTAAAAATGAAAACCTTTCAATAAAAAATATTTGACAAGAAAGTCTTGGATTGGGCAATGCTAACAGGCTAGCAGTATATCACCACTCCTTCCTGGAGTGAGAGGTGGGCAGAAAAAGTAACATAGGAGGCAAAACTGTCAAGCACCAGGGAACAAATTTTGTTTGTAAACTGTTTAACCCCAGGCTCTCCTGCGCCTCTAACAAATTGATGAAGTTGTTACAGGGAGGTGGGTATCTGATGGGATCCACTTTGTGGTTTAGAGTTTGTTCTAGCACCTGCCCTTCAACATTATCTTGACACATTTACATTTATTATTCCAATGTGTCAATAGACTAATGCACTTTGAAAGCCTGTTTTCTGTTTGTGGCTGGTTTGTGGGTCACTACAAAGTTTAAAGCTTTTGGTAAAGTAGCATTAGCATGCAATGAACTCTATTAAACTTGAAGGGCTAAATTAAGCTTTTGTTAGTTTATAAGTAGGCTTGTTTATATTTTGTTTTATATGTCTTAGTGGATGAAATTAAATTAAATCCAATGGTCTAAATGTGTAGGTAATAGAAGCAACTATACTTACTGTAAATGGCATCTGTGATTGGTATATTAGCTGGCATATCTGCAAAAGTAAATTATTAATAGGACACTATAGACATCAAAATAACTTCAGCTTAATGAAGCAAGGTTCCCACTTGTGCTGACGTCAGAGGAGGTGGATAGGAAGCCAGCGCCAAAGGACGACAACATGGGAATCAGTTGTCTAAAGGGTTATTTAACTATGTGATGGCTGGTGGTGTGGGGGCAAAGGGACACTATATTATGTTAGGAATACAGCTTTGTATTCCTATTTCTAAAGTGTTCCTTTAAATTAGCTATTCATCACAGATTTCGTGTAACAATTTCACTAAATTGTCTAAAAGATTTCGTTGTGTTAATTCATAGTTGTTTATTTTCTCCAGGGAATTTCTCTAATTTTATTCTATTTAATTTTCACATGTATATTGTGTGTTAAATGATCTAATATGTGCATGTTGCACAATGATGGGGAGAGCAAACAGTTAACACAAGCATGTTTCCACTTGGTTCAACACAACATGCCAAATTCTAATCTCACTGCCTGAGTACTCAGCTAAATGTTTACCTCCCATGGGCCTCTCTACTATATGCCATGAAAGCATTTTCTCGATTAAAAAAAACAAGAAATTGTATTTTGCTCAAGTTGTTTTATTTGTTTAGCTCCCCATCATATTGTAAATTAATGAGCAAGAAACTGTTACTCGGAAACAAACTAACTATAGCTAACAATGTCTAAAAGTTTTCTTTTGTTATTGCAGATACACATTGCAAGGTATATAAAGTTTAAAAATAAATAGCACCAATAACCACAATATAGTACTCTAAGCACCATAACCACTACAGCTTATTTCAATGAAAAAAGTCTTCGGTTGCCATTGAATCATTTACTGCCAAATCAATTTCAAGTGGTGTGACAATCTGTGAATGGCACCATTCCCTGCACCATAACCACTTAACTAAGCCATAACATAAACAGTAGGAGGCCAGAATAGCACTTGAAGCAGCCAACCAGCCACACCATTGTGAGAGGCGGGAGCATGTAGAGAGACACAATGCTGGGTGGTGGGGGCATGTTTAGATACACAATGGTAGATGTTGAGGAAATTCTAAAATGTCCAGTGATAACTGGTAAGTGCATGGAGAGAAGAACTTAATGGAATGAGTCATAAGATATATGATATTTCGAATGAGCCACAGCTGGGAGATATTGACAGACATAAAGGGTAGGGACAGTGGGGAAAGACGCATACATACTACAATGCAAAAAAGAAGAGAACAAATGGAGAGAAACATGGAGTAATGAAGCATGAGATGAGGCACAAGGGGTTGTCCATAGGGATAGATACAGGAGCAGAGAGCCCAAAGAGATAACCAAAGGTAATGAACAAGGAGAATCCAAAGTGGAGGGAATTGCAAAGAGGCGCAGGTCGGTGTCACATTGGAGAAACATGGTAGAGGGATGAGGTTTGGAAACAGCACTGGGCATGCAGATCAAACTCTGTTGTGGATTGATGTGAGCTATATTCTATCCATTAATGAAAGTGCAGTAGATGAATTAATTTTCACTGTGAGGGTGCAGAGGAAGTTAAATGTGAATTGTAGGACCAAATTCCTATGGGCAGCATGTTACCCTTGGAACCAGGCAACACAGTATCTTGCCCCTATCCTGACAGGAATCAAAAAGAAGTTCTAAGTAGACTTGTGCACATTGAAAAAAAATGGCTCTGCCTGTCACAAACGCACACTACTCCAAGAGTGTGCATGACGTAGTTGTGGTGGTGAAAGGGTTAAAGTTCACTATTCGTCTGCACTAGATTGGAAATAATGATAAAAAAAATCCCCCTTAACACCACCCACACTTAACCATAATAATATAAGTATAACTATTTTAACCTAACACCACCAAGACAATTTATAAATGAGGTGTATTGGTCCCCGAGGTAACTTAATAATAAAACCCCACCAAATACAATTTAACACAATATTTTATTGCAAAACACTAATTAGTCTCTTCAGGTAACGTGATTATTTACCAGACAAAGGCAGAACTTAATGAAGGAATATTTATTATGAGCAAAAAATAGTCAGTGCATACAAAAATATAGATGACAATCAAATTAGTTACACCAACAACAGATAAAACAAAACGGATAAAATAACAGAAGTCCTAATCACTTACTTACTTAGGTTTTCAAAGTAAAACTTCTCCCCAGGGGTCTCCGGTAAAGGGAGATGGTGACTCATTCAGAATTAGATTCTGGCCCCCAAGCAAGTGCAATATAAACTTCAGTATCATTAGATATATATACCCTGTGGATTACCAAACCTCGCCCCCAGAGGTGGAGATAAGGCGTACCTATAGTAACTATAAGTGACCACCCACTTGTGTTCCAGACCAACATCAATCCAAATAGAAACATTTGGTTCTATCTCCTCTTATGTACTTGCCACAAAAATAATAATTGCATCTATGAATTTATTTCCATGTTTCCATTCCATAGATATGTCACACTCCTTACTTGTGACCCAATATAGCAGACATCACAATCCCTTCCCTTACGGTTAAGTTACGTAAATCAAGTTTGGGCTTGATTAGAAGTTTGTGCTTGTCCCATTCTAAATATAATAAAAATAAGGGCTTCATTAACAATCTGTAGGTAAATATTAATGTTTATTTTGGATATGATCCTGGAACACAAGGCTAATGGTCATTAACATATCAAAGGACCCCCTATCTAAGAGGGAATCTAGACTTATGGCAATTTAGAGAGTTAATTTATATTTAAACCAGACTTCCAGGCCACTTATGTGTGACTTCTCACACCTAGCAGAGCCTTTGATTAATCAAAGGATCAATCCATATAGTAAACCATCTGCTCCCTTCACATTCCTATGCAATCTACATTACCCCTTCTGTCATGTGTGGCCAATTCATATATGCACTACATAAATTACATTAAATGGTGCAACAATGAATCATGCATCCTTGGCATGACACTGCCAAAACTACTTAGTCCGGAAATAAAATTAAGTTCATGTTGGCTGAATATTGTCCATGTGGTAGATCGGCTAATCTGAACATCTTCCATGCATAATTTTTGGAGAAATAGTTGGACAAGCTAAAAAAACAAGGAAAAAATAATCAAATATATTTATAATGTTATCTGGACTAAGGGCTACGCAATCCCAGGCATTTTTTCAATGCCAATTCTGAGTTGTCAAAATTAGATTATTACATCTTTATGGTTAAAAAAGTGGGAGAACTTAGATCTTAGGGATTTTTCATCTTTTACCAACTGTGTCTGTGGAAAGCACTACAATAAAAAAAATTGTATTATTAAACCATGAAGTCAAAACATCTTACTAACAAAAATTAACAATAAAACAGTTAATTAAAAATGAGCAATTTATTGAACAAAAATTAAGTAACTTAGCAAGTGGAACTTACAACAACACATAGCTTAAACTGAGTATTTCTATAGAAATCATAACATTTAATAATAACATATGAACAGGCTGTATTCAGATGATGATGAGGGGTGCACAGGTGGGGCAGTTCCTTTTACAGTTAGGTCTGTAAATAATTGGACACTGACACAATTTTTATAATTTTGGCTCCACAATGGATTTGAAATTAAACAACTGTAATGCAATTGAAGTGCAGACTTTCAGCTTTAATTCAAGGGGTTGAACAAAAATATCATATGAAATGTTTAAGTAATTGCAACCATTGTCATACACAGTCCCCTTATTTCAAGGGCTCAAATGAAATTGGACAAATTAACACAATCATAAATAAAATGTTAATTTTTAATACTTTGCAGAGAATTGTTTGCAGGCAATGATTACTTAAAGTAAGAAATGCATGGAGATCACCAAACACTGGGTTTCCTTCATTTTGATGCTTTGCTGGGCCTTTATTGCAGCTGTATTCAGTTGTTGTTTGTTTGTGTGTCTGCCTGCCTTAAGTTTTGTCTTCAGCAAGTGAAATGCATCCTTTATTGGGTTGAGATCAAGTAATTGACTTGGACATTGCAGAATATCCCACTTTTTTGCCTTAAAAAACTCCTAGGTTGCTTTCACTGTATGTTTTGGGTTATAGTCCATCTCTAAAGTGAGGCGCCATCCAATCAACTTTGCTAAAATTGGCTGAACCTGAGCAGACAATATATCCCTATACACTTCAGAATTCATCCGGCTGATTTTGTCTTCTGTCACATCATCAACAAACACTAGTGACCCAGTGCCATAGGAAGCTATTCATGCCCATGCCATCACACTGCCTCCAACATGTTTTACAGATGATGTGGTATGCTTTGGATTATGAGCCATTCCTAGTCTTCTCCATATCTTTTGGACATGTGCAATTCATTTAGTTCCAAATGCACATTCGGACAAATTTCGGACATTCGGATGCTTCCAAATGTCCGAAGTGCCAAACTGCCGAATTTCCGAAGTGCCGAATTCCCGAATTTCTGAATGCCAAACTGAACCAAATTGCCGAAGTGCCAAATTGCCGAAGTGTCGAATTTCGGAAGTGCTGAAGTTCTTCGGATTTTTGAAGAGTGGCAGAACAGGAGAGAGTTGGGGTTAGGGGTTGGGGTAGGGTTAGGGTAGGGTTAGTTGTTGGGGTAGAAGTAGAGGTAGGGTTAGGGATAGGGTTAGGTTTAGGGATAGTGTTAGGGGTAGGGTTAAGGGTTGGGGTAGGGTTAGTGGCTGGGGTAGGGTTAGTGGTTGGGGTAGAGGTAGGGTTAGGTTTATGGGTTGGGGTAGTGATAGGGTTAAGTGTTGGGGTAGGGGTAGGGTTAGTGGTTGGGGTAGGGTTAGGGGTAGAGGTAGAGTTAAGGGTTGGGGTAGGGTTAGGGGTAGGGATAGGGTTAGGGGTTGGGGTAGGGTTAGTGGTTGGAGTAGGGTTAGGGTAGTGGTAGGGTAACCCTAACCCTATTCCTAACCCTACCCCTAACCCTACTCCTAACCCTAACCCTACCCCTAACCCTACTCTAACCCTACCCCTAACCCTATCCTAACCCTACCGCTAACCATACCCCTAACCCTATTCTAACCCTATCCTAACCCTACCCCTAAACCAACCCTAACCATACCCAACACCTAACCCTAGCCTACCCCTAACCCTACATTAACCTACCTCTAACCCTACCCCTACCCCTAACCCTACCCAATCCCTAACCCTATCTCTACCTCTACCCCTAACCTAACCTAACCCTACCCCTAACCCTACCCTACCCTAACCCTACACTTACCCGAAGTCACGAAGTGCCGAAGTGTCGAAGTCCTGAAGTGCCGAAGTCCCAAAGTGCCGAAGTCCCGAATTTGGCAATGCCGAACCAAATATTTTTCCCATGCACATGCCTAATATCTTTTTCTTCCCATCATACTGGTACAAGTTGAACTTTGTTTCAACTGTCCAAAGAATTATTTTCCACAACTGGACTTGTTTATTTAGATGTTTTTTGGAAATGTCTAATTATAATCTGGAGGCTTAAGAATGCTTTGCATCATGTGATAAACCCTCTGTATTTGCTCTCGTGCCTAGAGGGGTAACACTTTCTCTTTATGCTAGACTTGGATAAGGATATGACTACCTCCAGGAGACTGTTCTTCACTTGGCTGAATGTTGTGAAGGGTTTTTTCTTTACCATGGAAAGTATCATATAATCGTCCACCACTGTTTTCCGTGGACGTCCAGGCCTTTTTGTGTTGCAGAGCTCACCAGTACGTTCTTTTTTAAAAAAAATGATTTGGCCACTCTTATTGCTCATGCTAGCTCTCTGATGGATTTTTATTATTTTTGTTCAAACTCTGAATAGCCTGTTTCATTAACATTGAGGGATATTTTGACCACATGTTGGTTCACAGCAATTGCTTCCAAATGTGAATGCTACACATGGAATCAACCCCAGATCAGTGACTTAGTCACACCATACAAAAACAAAAGTTTTAGACTTTAGAAAAACAGACTTTTCTAAAATTAGAATATGTGTAAAGGAGACATTATCAGACTGGAGCAATTTAAATGGAGTCCAAGAAAAATTGGATTGTTTAAAAGTTGCACTGCTGAAGGCAACAGAAAATTGCATTAAGCTTGTCAGTAAAAGCAAAATATTTAAGAAAACAATGCGGTACTCCACAGATATGGCAAAAATAGTAAGAGACAAAAAAGTTAGCATTTAGTAATTATAAAAAAGACCGAGTGAGGGAGATGACAGATCTATAAGATTAGGCAGAAAGAGGCTAAGCAAGCTATAAGAGCTTCCAAATCACACACAGAAGAGAAAATAGCAGTCAGTAAAAAAAGGGGACATAAATGAGAAAAGGAAAGTAAAACAAGGATTAGTTAGATTAAAAACAAAAGAAGGAAGGTATGTAGAAGGGGATAAAGGTCTAGCTTACTGCCTCAATGAATATTTTCTTTCAGTATTTAGATGAAAATAAAGGAAAGGGGCCTCAGTTAGGAAAAAGGACAAATTAGTAATTTGTTACACGTGAGTTTACAGAGGAAAATGTTCTATTTCAACTGTCAAAAGTAAAGAGAAATCAGTCAATGGGACCTGATGGAATACACCCAAAGCTATTAAAAGAGCTTAGTGGTGTACTAGCTAAACCATTAACAGATTTATTTAACCAATCATTGTTAACAAGAGTAGTCCCAGAAGATTGGAAGTTAGCGAATGTTGTGCCCATTTACAAGAAAGGTAATAGGGAGGAGCCGAGCAACTATAGGCCAGTAAGCCTTACTTCAGTAGTGGGGAAAGTGATGGAAACCATGTTAAAGGATAGGATTGTTGAACATCTAAAAACACATGGATTTCAATATCAGAGACAACATGGGTTTACTTCAGGGAGATCATGCCAAACTAATCTTATTGATTTTTTTGATTGGGTAACTAAAATAATAGATCAGGGTGGTGCAGTAGACATTGCTTACCTAGATTTCAGTAAGGCTTTTGACACAGTTGCACATAGAAGGCTTATCAATAAACTGCAATCTTTAAATTTGGATTCCAATATTGTTGAATGGGTAAGGCAGTGGCTGAGTGACAGGCAACAGAGGGTTGTAGTCAATAGAGTATATTCGAAGCATGGTCTTGTCCCCAGTGGGGTACCCAGTGGGGTACCCAGTGGTGTATTTTGGATTTGTGCTTCGCTAGGCAGGTCGGTGCTCGGGCACCTCCCCATGATATTTAAATTTTCCCTACCTCTTCCTGTCAATGCCGTACTTTGACTGACATACACTTTCTTACTGATGCATTTACTGTCATACACTCACTAAAAGATACAGTCATTGGCACACATATTGTTTAACCAACACATACTTTCACTGACAGAAAGACACACACACTCACTGACAGACACACATTCTCACATACACTGACAAACAATGACACACACTCCCTAATTTGACACACTCTGACAGACACACATTATTACTCAGAAACACACTGACAAACTCACACTCACTGACAGACGCACACACTCACTGACAGACACACTCACTGACAGATGCATACACTCATTGACAGACATATACACTCATTGACAGACACACACTCTCATATACACTGACAAACAATGACATACACAAACACTCACTGATTTGACACACACTGACAGACTCACACTCACTGACAGATGCACACTCACTAACAGGCGCGCACACTGACAGACACACACACTCACTGACAGACACATTTTTTTTTATTTAAATCCATCCAGCCTCCCTGCAGTCCAGTGGGGCTGCTTCGTGGGCAGGTAGTAGGCGAATAGGCAGAGTAGGTGGCGAAGGAGCTCTAACCTTCCTGCTCAGCTCCCTCGCGGGCCACTTAGGGATGCCGGGAGCTGGAGTGACGTCATAGATTCATTAAGCGGTGCTCAAGGGAGCTGAGCAGGAAGAGCTCACATGAGCATGCCCCTTCACTGCCCTCCATGACAGAAGCTGATGCCTGCCTCGGGGGGGCTCAAAAGTGGCCAGCCGGCCAGCCCTTGAGCACCCCAGGACAGGAGGCAAATAAGGGATATGCCTGGGCGTTTGGAGGCTTTTTTCCCCATCCACTGCAAAGTGCCGCCCGTGTAAGATACATCGCTGGGGGTACCTCAGGCATCTGTACTTGGACCCATTCCCTTTGATATTTTTATTAGTGATATTGCAGAAGGTCTTGATGGTAAAGTATGTATTTTTGCTGATGATACTAAGATATGTAACAGGGTTGAAGTTCCAGGAGAGATAAGCCAGATGGAAAATGATTTAGGTAAACTAGAAAAATGGTCAGAGTTGTGGCAACTGACATTTAATGTGGTTAAGTGCAAGATAATGCCTTTTGGACATAAAAACTCAAAGGCAGAGTAGAGAATATTTGATAGAGTCCTAACCTCAATGTCTGTGGAAATGGATTTAGGGGTAATTATATCTGATGACTTAAAGGTAGGCAGACAATGTAATAGAGCAGCAGGAAAGCTAGCAAAATGCTTGGTTGTATTAGCAGTAGAAACAGGCAAGTGCTCATGCTATTGTACAGAACACTGGTGAGACCTCACTTGGAGTATTGTACGCAGTACTGGAGACCGTATCTCCAGAAGGATATTGATACTTTAGAGAGAAGGGCTACTAAACTGATTCATGGATTGCAGGATAAAACTTACAATGAAAGGTTAAAGGAACTTAACACGTATAGCTTGGAGGAAAGACGAGACAGGGGGATATGATAGAAACATTTAAATACATAAAGGGAATCAACACAGTAAAGGAGGAGACTATATTTCAAAGAAGAAAAACTACCACAACAAGAGGACATAGTCGTAATTAGAGGGGCAAAGGTTTAAAAATAATATCAGGAAGTATTGCTTTACTGAGAGGGTAGTGGATGCATGGAATAGCCTCCAGCTGAAGTGGTAGAGGTTAACACAGTAAAGGAGTTTAAGAATGTGTGGGATAGGCATAAGGCTAACTTAGCTATAACATAAGGCCAGATAATAAAAGTATTTAGAAAATTGGGCAAACTAGATGGTCCAAATTGTTCTTATCTGCTGTCACATTCTATGTTTCTATATTTCTATGATCTTTTACCTGCTTAATTGATGAAGAAATAATGAAGGACTAGAATAGACCACAAGAAACAGTTTTTGAGTCAATCGTCCAATTACTTTTGGACAATTGGCTTTAGAGGAAGCTAAATATTAAAGAATGGTAATTCTAAAACCCGTCCTCCAATTTAATTGTGAATACCCTTAATTAAAGTGGAGAGAATGCACGTTAAGCCCATATTCATTATTTTTCTGTAGCTTAAAATCTATTTGGTAAACAACCAAATATTTTCAGACCTAGCTGTATAAAATGGGGTGAGTATGGGTTTTCACAGAAGAGAAAGAAAAACAACCATTGGTAATACAACTTCAGGTCTACCCCATTATAAATGTAATAGCCATTTACATTTGTATGGTCTTTGAAAATGGGATACTATTTCTTTAATATAATGTTCTGTTGCTCTTGTCATCCCCCATTGTACAGCGCTACGGAATTTGCTGGCGCTATATAGATAATAAAATAAAATAATAATAAAATAATATCGGGAGAGGTAGCTGTTTCAGCTGTGATGATCTTCTTCAGATCTCTGTGTCTTCTGAATTGCTCTTTACCAAAGTTTTTTCCTCAAGTGGACATTACAAGCAACCTCAATCATGATAGATCCTGCTTGTCGCACTCTACCTTACAAGCATAAGCTGCTAATAACACTATGGTATGCTTCAAAAAATTAAAAGGAAAAATTAAATGGGCAATTGATGACCCACTTGCCCTCCTTTCACCTATGTTGTCTCTATGGTGCTAAGGAATATGTGTGATGATTTTTTCTTATCTCACTTGCTCTCTCTCTCCTCTTGCTATGTAGCCATTTACCTTTCAGATGTAGCAAATTTGTTTCTTGCTTCATTAAATCAGTGATTTCCTGTTTAGGCAAACCATTAAGGATTCTTAATTACTTACCTTAGCCCTGCTCTGAT